GGAGGTTGTGAAACAGAAGTACAGCTAGTTTCTCTACTTGCTTGCTGCTGCTCCTGCTGCTTCACACGCCTCACGTACAGATCTCCAGCTCTGGAAGGCAAGAGCGAACTACTTCATCAGGACCAATGTGGGCCACGACTCATTCTTGGTCTCCCTCTCCATGATGACTGCAATTACGACAATGCCCATAGATAAAGTGGGTGGAATATTTTTTTAAGGACGGCAAGAGTTTAACATTTCCGCTATTTTTATTATTATATTATAGACAATGAAAAATGGTACTAAATACCGTCCCCTTTGAATATTTTGTTTAGACGTGCTTTAGCAGGAGATAAATTGGTGGCCTGGCTAGTGTTCGTTTCTTTGAATGAAAATGAAGATGTATTTGTTTGGAATTTGAATAAGAATGGTTCCTTTTCAATTCAATCATTTTACAAAGATGTTATGAAAAGAGAAAAGCTACCGGGGGGAAACATCTTTTGGAGGACTAAGTTACCTTTTTGAAGATTAAATTTTTCTTTTGTATTTTGGAGAGGTGGTGATTTTAACTAAGGACAATTTGGTGAAGAGACGATGGATGGTTACCCTAATGGTTTACTTTTGTATACCTCTAAGGAAACTATTCAACATCTATTTTTTGATTTTTTTATTGTCACATTGCAAGGTCCATTTGGAATTCAGTTTTTATTGTCTTCAATATTCAACCACCTACTAGGGTAACTCATTTTGTTTGGTTCTTGGCTTATGAGTTTGTCTTCTAAGCTTAGAAATCACATTTTAATATTAGGAGTTGCAGCTCTATATTGGGTAATTTGTTTCAAAAGGACCACTCCTCTGTCAATCTTGCAGGTCAATTTTAGAGGGACGTACTGGATCAAGCAACGGTCTCAACTGTCTAATTAAAGAGGAAGAGAGAACTCGACTGAAGGAAGGATGCTATTTGTTGGAGACCATGGTGTTGGATTTTGTTTCAACAAGTTTGGATGGAGAAATAGAAAACGAATGTATGCTTGAGGCTTTTCATTGAGTAGTTTCTCTAAATAAACGTTTGTAGCATTGTATGGTGAGGAGTGGCCTAAGTGCTATGTCTGTGTGTTTGTTGAACCGCTATACTCATTCACTTGTGAATGCTGGAGACCGAAATATTGTGTATTCTTTAATTAAAAAGACAATTAATGAAACAAAGAAAACAAAGCACAGTCCATAATATAAATCTAAATATCAGTTACAGTGGCAACAATAAAGGTAGCGATCTCTTACGACACCCACTATGATGTGGCAAACTAGATTTAGCAATATGAAACTTAGCATCCTCTATTTAATTAAGGTAACTGGCCGCTATAGCATCCCGCAATTCTTCGTAGCAGTCGTAATAGTAGCTTGGCACAGCATACAACAAACAACGGTAGCCCTTTGACTCCCACAAAAGGCATGCATGTAGAGATCGACTATTGCTTCCTGACAATAATAATGAATGATGGTTTATGAACTATCTATTTTTTATTGCTCTTATAATCTATTTCTTTGTTAACTTTGATTATTAGAACTTAGCGTTGACAATAGCATCCGTCATCATATCCATGGCCCACTACCTCGAGGTTAATCTGCTACCCGCCTGTTATGCGCTATTTAGTATACAGTCAAAGGTAAATAGAAAAACCACTCACAAGTTTAAGCCGTGGGCCGTGGCTCGGGTGGTTGTTGGGGTAAGATCGTCATGGCTGCTACGGCTGGGAGGCCGGAGTGGCGGACGGGAGTCAGGACAGTACAAACCGAGAAAGGCCCAGTCGCCGAATAGAAGCGCCCAGCTTCAGTTCCCATAAGTGGGCCTTTTTTGGCTTATTGGGCCACTTCGTCAGTTCCGGCAATTAGCCCCATACTTTTCCTTAATCTAGAATTCGCGATTGTTTCTAAAAAAAATCTAAAATTCGTGATTTACAATTGCTTTTCCAAAAATATTTTGTAAACCTCTAGACAAGTTTCAGGCTCTTAAATAGTGCATTCCATGGCTAGACAAAGAAATTATAAGGATGGCTATAACATTTAGGCCTTGTTTCACGTGGATTGAGTTGAATCCGGCAACATCCAAACAAGACCTTAGTGGACTTAGCCTGAGTTTCAGGATTTTAGATAGCGCATCCATGGCTAGAACATTTTATTTCATAAGGATGGCTAGAACATTTAGGAGGCTCCATGGACTTGGCCGAGCCAGAGGGCTCAAGCAAATCCGCCCCCACCATCAAAAGAGACTTTTAACATCAAATTGTGTCATTGACTTTTACCATCAAATGTGCTACACGGTATTGTACCTGCAGCTGTGTCATGACCTAGGCATTGTAAGAGCGAGTATAATAACATGTTGTAAGCTGGCTAAATGCTGAGTGGAAGGGAGAGAGGAAAAGCGAGCTGTAAGCTTACAGCCGGCTTAGGCACAAGAATCAAGAAACTTTGTGAGAGAGACAAGTATGCCAACTACTATATGTGTGGGCTGAGAGAATACTGTAAAGAACCTTATAGCTAGCAGACCGGCTGTATTATTAGCCTTGCTTTGATAGGATTAGGAGTGAGTCATGGGTGAGTTTGGGCCGTGAGCCTTGTTTATTATAATAGGTCCACTAGGAACCTACTCCTATCTGCTGCTATGGGAAGCGTGCTGGTCAAACTTTTTCAAGTTTGATTAAGTTTATAGAAAATAATAGCAACATTTGTATCTCCAAATAAGTTTATTGTATATATTTAGTCAAAGTTGGCTAAGTTTGACATATCGGGAAGTGAGAACGACAGATAAATAGGGATAAAGTCAGTAAGTCCTATACTCCTATATTAGTAATGTATGTATGAATGGCTGGGGTCATCGATGAGGAAACGAACTAAGGGACCTGCTGGCGCCCGAACGTTCGGATGTCCCGCGCATGCTGCTACCCCAACTCGCGCCGCCCATGCCTGCCGCTGCGCCGTATCACAGCTGCACGCACACATCCATCCCCCGTCTGCCTCACCCGCCCCGCACGCATACCCCGCTCGGACGCGCACCCCAGCTGCGCTCGCCACTCCTTCCCCTAATCCCCTCATCTCTCCGTGCGGGTGGGACCCAGGAGCACGGATGACGAGCACACCCCGTCCGTAGGACCCCTGGCGCGCCGTGCACCCCATCTGTCTGCCCCTAGCTCGCCGCGCCCCTTCCCCCAGCGCTTGAGCCGTTGCCCCATGACTCTTTGAACATACCTCCGAAGCATGAAACACTTGCAACATGAAACACTTGAATGCAACATAAGTCTGAAACAGATAAAATATTTGGAACATACACTTGCAACATATGTGTGAAACATATGCAACATCCAAATAAAACACTTGCAACGTATATGTGAAACATATGCAACATCAAGATAAAACAATTGCAACATGAAAATACTTACTGCAACATAAGAATAAAACAGTTGAAACATTTAGAATATACTATTGCAGCATATGTGTGAAACATATGCAACATCTAGATCAAAATGCTTGTAACATATGTCTGAAACAGATGAAACATTTTGAACAAACGCTTGCAACATGCCTCTGAAACACTTGCAGCATATGCAACATCCTGATCTACTTTTGCAACATCCATATGAAACACTTGCAATATACCTCTGAAACATCTGAAACACTTGAAATATACATTTTGCCACATGTGCTTTCAGGGCAACATCTCCTTGCTGCTTGGGAATGGAGGCTCGTTGACGCGTGAAGTTCACCGGTGTAGAGCTCGCTGCTCCGGTGGAGAAGGTCGCGACAGCTCCCGTGGAGAAGGCCTCGGCGGGTCCATGTGCTGGGGAAGCCCGGGGCGAGCGGGAGACGCGGTGGAGGAGAGGAAGGCATGGTGGAGAGGGAAGAGCGGCGGAGATCGTCGTCGCTGGCGATGTAGTGGAAGCGCGGTCACGGAGAGCGGATCGTTCTTGCCTGCGGTAAGGTAAGTTTTTTAGAACGGATGGGCGGTTGTTGGGCTACGTCATGCCCACCATCGGCACCATCTGGACGGACGCCTCTATACCCAAAGATTACCCAATGAACTAATATCTACTATGTTTAAACCTTCTGTTCTTTCTTTTCCCACTCATCGTTTTTCTTGAGAACGTCCCCAATGATCTAGCTTAGAGTCAGCTAAATCAATATTTTATTTAATAATACAAAAGACAAGAATTTAGCGTAAAGTCAAAAGATAGTCTCACATGTTACACGATGGCCCTCCCTCTCACGATATGATATAAATATAATTACTACACCTCACTTTCACACTTGCTAGCCACTTGCCAGCTTAGAACTAATGTTAGCTAATATAATTACTATATTGTCTCTCTTTCACATTGCCAGCTTAGAGCTAATGTTAGCTTATTGTTGGTGATGCCTGGCTCCACAGACCCTCGCCTTGCCGCGCTTGTCGCCAGCATTTATCCCAAGAATGGTGACAAACCTGTTGCAGAGAAGCCAAGGCGCTACGGCAGGGAGCCCAAGGGCACCGCACAGCACCACAGCCACAGCAGCAAAAATGACATCCGATCAGGCATTCAGGCTGTGTTTGCTTTGTTGCATACTGATCGCGAATTCTACTTACCCAAAGGGTACAAGTGAACTTTTGGTGCAGAGGGGCAAAACCGTCAAAGAGCAACAGGAATATAGGACATGATACTAAAGGTTGCCACTCCCATGTGCTGAATCTGCTGACCTGGGATGCATCAAGCCTGCACGCATGACATGCATATATATCCACCACTGACCAACAGCAGTATCAGCAACCAGAGTATAGCAAAAACAGTGCCTAATTTCTTTCTTTTTACTTGAGAAACATCATATGAGTCCACTCTTATGTACCTGACAATATTACGCTGGAGGTAAGCCTAGGCAATCAAGACACAGGAAAAAAGAACAAGAAACCGTTGCTTCTTTTCTTTCCCGTTGCGGTTCTAGGGAACAAGTTTGCAAGTGGCGCAAATGTGCAGCCGACGAAGGCTAGGTTATCAGTGCCTCGCCGGGAGCCCACCGCTGCTGCTCTTGCGGATGAAGGCGTTTCTGGTCTTCGGCTTCGGTATGTCATTGATGTCCATCACTTGGATTGTCCTCTGCTTTTTGGCTGTCAAAAAAAAGCAATCGAGAGAGTGAAAAGAGAGAAAGGATAACAAATTTGTGTCATCAGACCCTCTTTTACAAATTGATTTCAGATGACATCTTATCATTTCAATCACTTGCTAAAGAAAGCACCATGACCAGAACAATAAGCAACGCTTAAGACAAGGAACAGACAGAGAGAATATTTTCCTTCATATCATCATGTTGTCTGTCTGTAATTAAGATGAGGTATAAACTCAGTAATTTACCATTTTGTGCTTCTTGATAATTCTCCTGGAGCCTCTTCCTAGCAGAGTCAAGCTTGTCAAGGTCCAAAAGACTCTGCCTTTGCTCCCTTGTCACTTTCTGCATGGAACACTGAAAGTTATTCTCGGACTTGAATCAATCCAACAAAATAGCCAGACTCCTTTCGACAAAAACAATTTACTAAGGAACTGACAACTCAACTGTTTTGTTCACTGAAAGTGGAACACAATCTTTTGTTTTTTCGAGTAGCAATATTGCACAATGAGTAGTGACATGCGAGGCAAAGTTGTCAAAAGATGCTTCATTGGGGTCCATAATCCATACTGGTATGGCCACTACTACTTTAAACAAAATGCAGTGCTCAACTGTCGGCTTGAAAGAAACGGGGACCTAGGAATTAAGGAGAAAAATCTGGTTAAATCCTTACAGCTGGAGCAGATGATGTACTAGTAGTAGAATTATGGTTGTTGTTCATCTGCTTGGAATTATGATGTGCTGGTACAGGGCTGGCCCTACGCTTTGCATCCATTGTTGACTCAAACCCATTGTTAGCCCTCTCTGAAGCTGAACCATCTAAAATCACAGAAACAAAGAGCATACCTCCATAAGTACATTTTTACTGCATTAAAAAGACGAAAACTGAATGCTATGCCAGAGTAAGATGATATGTGGCACTCACTTTGCCTCTGTGGGCTGGGAGAATACTGAAATCCTGAAACCTGTAAGGTTCGAACAACGAAGGTGTCTTTGTTACATAGTCAACAATCAATAAAGAAAAGGTAAACGTACAGGCTCTAATAAAGTACAGAGATGTCACCATAGATAATAGCTACTGTCATCGCAAAATCCGTTATCTGTTACTGCTAGCAGTTTACTCAGCATGAGAAAAGCATGGATAATAGCCCTTTTAAGAGCTGTGATCGTCTGGCAAACTAACAGGGAATAATAGAGCAGGGAATATTCCAGGCACGATGCTTCATACAGAAAGAAGCTTTCTACAGACAGGGGAATCACTAAAAAAGCTTGAGGTGTACTTATTCAGAGTAATCTCTAAGCAAGACAAGTTACCCGAGGGCTTTGGTGGCTCCTGCCTTGGATTTTATCTGGAGAGTCACCATCAGCTGCTGTCATCAAAGCAACCGATTTCAACCCATCAGGATTATCAAGAACAGGATAAAAAAAATATCTCCAAACAATCTTGAGCCAAAGAGACTGTAAAAATCTACACAGTGACATACTCATAACCGTGGCGCTGCCGTCACCGCCGGAATTGTGCAGGCGCACCCAGTCGTCCACTATCTCCTTCCACTTCCTTCAAGTTGCAAGCAACACCAGGTTCCACAAAGAGGATAATTAGGCAGCATATTCAAAACAAAAAATCATCTGTCTAGTTTAGCAGTGTTTGTGTCCATGTTCATCACCTGATGAGCTGCTTCACCAGTCGCTTGACCTCAGCGGAAGGGTGCTTGCGCAGACCATTCACTTGCCGCCCGATGTCAGTCGCCTGCACGAACACGAATAGAAGGTTCAAAACTTTACACTTCCCATGGCAGTTGCTGCTGCTCAATCTCAAACAAGCAAGCAAACCGATTGGACCACCCATTGTGTAAGCCAAATAACAAAAGTGATGAAAGAACAGAATGGCGAAAAGAACTTGACCTGGAGGGCGTTGTAGGTGACGTCCATGTCTGCCAGGTTCTGCAGCAAGCGCACCAGCTCGTCCTCGGGCTGTGACAAAACACCACAAGCGTGCACAGTTTGCGTGAAAAAGGCCGCGCATTTGGAGCAAATACGCGTTGCGTGGTGGTAAAAATGGCTTCTTTGGGGACCTGATTGGGGTCATCCAAGAAGTCCCTGATGGCCACGATCTTGCTCTCGAGCCCGGGCGCGCCGGCGCCGGCGCCGAGCTCCTCTGCGCCACCGGCTTGGGCGTCAGCCTCCACCACTGGAGAAGCCGGAGCCGCCTCCTCGCCGCCCTCTTCATCCAGCCCCGCCGCTGCTAAAGCAGCAAGAGGCGGCGGACGCCCGGCGCAGTTGCTACAGCCGGCGGCGGCGGCGGCGTAGAGGCGCTCGACGATGCCGTCGCGGCGTGCGCGCAGCTCGTCGGGGCAGTCCCGCGCGGCCACGTCCAGCGCGGCGTCGACCAGCGCCCACAGGTCGCCTCCGAAGGCGTCCAGCGCGCGGCCGAGGCGCTCACCCCGGTCCATCGCCGGGCAGCCCACAGCAGAGCACTCCCCACGGCGGCCCTGCACAGGCGCCGTAGGCGGCGGAGGCGGCGGCGGGCGTGTCGGGCCCGGCAAGCGAGCGGGAGGCGGAGCGACAGCGACGGGCCCCGCTAAGGCTGCGGCGTTGGATCCGGAACGAGGGAGGAGAGGGAGAGGAAAACGGGCAGGCGGTAGAATTCTTGCCGATATTCCTATGGCTGGCTGGATTTGGCTGCGCTCAGCATCAATCAGCTTCGGGCGGGGTGGTGCCGTGGCTGTGGGTTGGTTCGTTGTTGCGTGCCCCCCCGGGGGGTGTGGGCCTGGCCTCCGCCTGCGCTGCTGCGAATTGCGATGCTCTCGGTCTCGGGGCTCGCCTCGCCGGTGGCCGCTTTCCGCCGCCTGGTCCCATGCCCTGTTTTTAACTCTGTTTCGGGGAGTGACGAAAATAGCCTCGGAAACCGCGGGTGCCAGCCGAACACCCGGATCGTTCTACACGGAGTACTTCTTTGGGAGAAAAAGATGGTTTTTTTTTTGAATTGATAATTGCACAAGTCGTGTAGCATATAGAATTGAATACTGACAGATAGATTATACCGTGGGCTGTGTGATTCCAGTGATAAGTCTGAAACCCGTAGGCTATGTGTGCATCGCGTGTCCTGCCATCTCATGGCAAGGGTGGTAGAATGATAAGCCTGAAACCCCATCGACTATTCGTGTATCGCGTGTCCTGCCATCTCATGAAAGACAACACCTCCGACTATAACCGCAGCCGCATATTACACGCGATGTTTTTTTATTTTTTTTAGAATTTTTAATTGTGATGTGCTTATTATGCTTGTAACCGTGTGTTTGGTTTGAGGGAATATCCCAGGTTTAACCCAGATGGAGATGCGTTTGGTTGAGGAGCCATGTGGGTTTGCGTCGAACCCAGGAGGGAATATACCCTCATATGCGGGTTGGAATGGTCCCTCCGAATTGAGGGGACGAGCTCGACCCACATCGACGTCGTTCTGCTCTGCCTCGCAGGGGCGACTGGCCACGCGCGGGCGCTCGGGCGCTAGGGGAGGTGGTGTAACACCCTCGGTGTTACATTGTACATCTTTTTGCTAAAACACTGCATGAATATTTTACTTGTGTGTATATGTATGTAATATATGGTATAAATCAATATATGGAACTTGAAACGTTTATTTGAAACACGAAATGAATGTTGCATTGTATGTCACATTGTATCACTTGATGTTCTAAACGAATTTTTATTAAACGAAAAGGCTATAGAACGTATGCCCGCACGCACCGCTGCCCAGACCGCACCGCTGTTGCCACGCCTGGCGCGCGACTCGCGTGTACTCGAGCGCTTTGATGGGACTTAGAATTATTTGCTGGTGTTGTACTCTGGTTTCGGGCCTTCTTGAGCCCGTGGCGTGAATGGGCTGAGAGTCATATTGGGCCATCAATTAGTCGAGCAATATTTTTGAACTAGCTTGTGACTTGTGTATATGTCTGTCTTGCGGCTTGCATGGTACTGTAGCCCTTCACTTGCTTTCTTTCCGTATATACCGGACATGTATACACTTGTTCAAACTTAGTCAGCTTCTATTACACTGGTAGTGTTCCTGGGCCGACAAGGCCTGGCTTGCTAAGGCGAAGGGGTGTTTCCAGGCCGCGCCACTCCGCCGCCGCGGTGGCCATGCCCGCCGTTCCGGCCATCGCCGGATCACTGTTGACTGGCGCCTTGTCGAGCCGAAAGGCGCCGTATTTACCACGGCCTTGGATTATCATGCCAAGGACTTGCATGTACGCCACTGCTGAAATCACGCGTTCGCCGTCGCGTTGAGCTGTACCCTGGTCGCGCTGCGTTCGGCGCTGCCGCGTGGCTACTGTTCCCGTTGATGTTTCACCCGCACGCGTGTGGATTTGCCCTCGCTTTCAGTTTGCACGCGAGGCCACGCAAAGTTTTTCGTCATGTTGTCTGGAAGGTCGCCGGCCGGCCGCGCCGCGCCAAGGCCAAACCACTGAGCTGGCCCATCCTTATTACCGCGCACGTGTGGAGAACGGTTGGGAGTACAGCTTCGTGCCTAACCCGCACTGTTGCGGTAGTACGATGTCGGGGCGTCGATTCAAGTTTTCGTCATCATCGGCCGCTTTAAGTTCCGAACGGCGTCGCCCAAGCAATTGGCCTTACGTACTCCACATCTTTCCAATTAACCATGCACACATAGAGCTCGGGTAGTTAGCTTCTGACCGGATTGATCTCGACGAGCGTTCGTCCTGCGGTGAGGTTGTGCGGGGCGTCGTCCTGCGGTGAGGTTGTGCGGGACGTTTCCCTCGTGGCTCCGGGCGACCTCCAGCGCGAGCTTGGCGAGGTCAGTCGGCTTAGCCGCACCCTCGTGCCCTTCTCTGCTACCGAGCCAACAATGAATATACGAACACAAAGACACCGTCGTGCTTTCGTTTCACGGCGACCACCACCGCTGCCTTCGCGCCGACAGCAAGCAGAGCAGCCGGCGGTGCGTGCCTTTGCTCTTAGCTTGTTGACATCGGGGTGTTCGGCTGGTGTGAAAACCAACCGGTTTTCACTGTTCATGGCTGGTTTTCACTGTTCACGCTCTCACGAATTCATCTAAATTCATCCTGATTCCTCCAAGCGAACAGGGCCATCATCTTGACATCATCCTTGCGTCACACCCAATTTAGTGCCGCTTTCTTGGAGGAAAATAAATCCATGAATACATTAGAAACACGCCACCTTAAGTGCTATGTTGGGCGCGTCGCTCGGCCGCTCGGGCCAGCTAAATGTTGTGTGAAGCCACGCTTCAGCGTCAAGCCCGCCGCTTTCTTTGGGCCACTTTCGCTCAGCCAGCCAGCAGTGGTGGCCGGCTTCTGCTCCACCTTGGTCCGCCGCCGCTGGTCGCCGTTCACGCCCGTCTTTGGATCATCCACGCCGCTGCTGCATGCGCTGGGCCACACAGGCTTGCTTCGTCTGGTGAGGCTGGTCCGATCCATGTCATTTGTTGGGCCAAGCTCTTGCCACCAGGCTTTTTTGAATTATAGAGCACTTTCTAATTTAGCTTGCAAGGTAAATTTATAAATCAATATAAAATTATGTAGTTGTCCAAAAATTATGAAACCAAGTTTGTTAGGTTCACAAAAATGCCATCTATCTGTTAGTGTAGTTAGATTACAGTTAGCTGTGATAATGGTAGGTTCATAAACTCAAACTAAAAAGCTTAGGATTATGTGGAGTAATATTTATAGGAATTTTTGTGGTAAATTGGTGATAGCTATAGCTATGAAAATTTTACAGTAGGCTCACTAGATTATTATGTACTTGCTGTAAATTTTGTAGCCCTAGAGTAAGTTGATTAATAGAGTAGCTATTATCCTTTCTTTATCATATATAGCGTAAATCAGCATTAGGAGTAAGAATACATGTAGTTGCTATAATAATGTATGTCATGCTTCATACTTGTTAATGGTAACAGTAGGTAGGTTAGCCCTTTAGTTGGTAGAACTCACTTAGTAGTTTGATAGATGTATTCTTATTTTAAGAGTTGGTGTTGTCGAAATACTAAGTGTCGCATCATCATTTCATGCATGTAGATCACGAGTTGGTAGAGTTCGTGCCCGTCGACGAACCGGAGTACGAGGAGGTCATCGAGGAGTACGAGGAGGAGGTACTCGTGCAGGAGGGAGCCCTGGAGCCTTTTGGAGCTGACTTTGCTGACCCGTCGCCTGCCTAAGGCAAGCCCCGGTGCATAACCCTTATTTTTAATGATCACTGGATTTATATATGATGTGCATTTACGTTACAAGCATTTTATGGAAACTACATGCATAAATATATCTACCTATGAGTTCTACTAGTACAGGTCGAGTAGCTGCTATGCTCAGGATATCGGTAGCGTGAGTAACCTGTCGTTACTCATAAGTAGGTGATAAACATTATCACTCATGATAAAATAGTAAAGGTAAATGATGACCGGGCAGGGATATGGTTTGGGTATTGGTGGGTGTAAAGGGTTGTGTCCTGCGGCCAACAGGGCATAGCTTGGTTACGCTTTTTCCCTGTCTGAGTCGATTAAGGACCGGTCGTTGCATAAGGCATCTTAGGCAAGTCACAGATCTATTGTCCTGAGCACATACTTGGGTATGGGCGTAGGGAAGACTTGTTGCTCTCTTGTTGTGGATCCGGATCTTTCCGGACCGACTGATTAGAGGTGGAGATGGTGGAGGTCCTTGCACCGCACTGAGTCCGAGACTCAGGAGTGGGGGCTTAGAGTCCAAGTTTGGATGGGGACCTGGACACCCAGGACAGGAGGGTGATGGGTTGGTCCTGCTTGTGCCTGAGGTACAAGCGGGACGTGTGTTTTCGGGGCACCCAGCTAGGCACATTGGTTCATGAATCGCCATCGAGTCGGTACGACTTGCTTCGTGTTTAGCACCATAGTAAGAACTAAAAGTTGAAAAGAGAAGAAATGGAACTGATTGCTCAACTCTTGCTTGAAAGTAGAACATGTGCTTATATAGACTGGCTAGATGACAACTTAATATGGCTGATAATAATAACATAAATAAGTACTCACTATTAGTACTGCTTTCTGCTAAAAGAAACCAGCAAACCATAAAGCTTATCATATTCCTATGAGTCGGGAAATTATTCCCACTAGTCGGATAAGTCTTGTGAGTACATTGTGTACTCAGGGTTTATTTACCCCTGATGCAGGTAATGCATGAGAAGTACCCTTGTGTGGAGGATTCTTCTAGTGGGCTCAGATGGATCCTCGTTTCTTATCGCTAGATGTTTATTTTAAATTCTGTTGTTTATTATTTCCGCACTCTAACATTTGGTAATGTAATAATGTAATTTTTAAGAAACTCTGATGTATGAAATGGACATGTATTGTAACTCGTTCTCATTATTGGATCCTTGGGAAAAATGTGGATCTTTCGGGTTCTTCCTTGGGGTGTGCCCGACGGATACCGCCATTGTAGCTTGCTTT